CAGGTTTCAAAAAGCACTTGTAACACGTGGCTGACGCCAGCTTAGGGAACTTGTCAAAATCTGGCAAATCCAGATCCTCAACGAGAGATTTGTCACCAACGGGGTAAATAAACTCTGCGTCTGTAGGTGGGAATAAGTAAACTCTCTTCTCGCCGACGACCTACGAAAAAAAGGAGAATGCGATTAACGCATCATGAAATACTATACTTGATCTTACATCTGAACTAGCATTAAAAATCGTGCAGAGAAGTAAAAATACTCAATAAAACAGGAAATCTGAGAAACAAAATTAACGCCTGAAAAAAGTGAACGAAACTTGCAAAGAGTTCCCGCTTTCCTTCAAGCAAACGTTTTTGCACGTTTTTCCCCCTCACGCATTCAGAGAAATGAGATTCTCTCACCTGAACGAGAATGTTGTCCATGACGTCGTAATGCGTCCAAAGCTGAACGTCCCCAGAACTGACCCTCAACACCGAAGAAAATAACCTTCCTTCTGGATAAATCCCTTCTGGCACAACGAAATCCTCCGAAATGGCTGGAAAGTGCATCCTGAAATCCGCCACGTCTCGACCTCTGGCATCGTTGCCCAACGCCCGCAAGTAAAAATACTCTTTGACCTGGTTTTGACCCGCACAAAGCTTCACGAAATTATCGAATCCCAGGGTTTCGTAAGAGAAATTTTTCTGCACGAAGCTCAGGTTCGAATGTTTGCTGCGGTGGATCTTCACGGGACGAGACCCCAGTTTGGAACACAGGTATTCCGGTGACCAGATATCTTTGCATGGACCCCACGACAAATTCGTCAGCACAACTGGCTCGTCTTTGCACGCGAAATTCTCCGCAAATTCTTCCGGCGTCGCGGAAATACGCGGCACTTCCACCACATTCATCACAACAACTGCTGACGACCAGACTGAAGTAAACCATTCCCTTCGATTAATTCCTTCCTTTCTCCCCTTCAAAAAATATAACTCGCTTGCAATCTACAAAAAATTTCTTCAGGACAAACTGAGTTATTCTCCGGTCATTTCGACATCGTTCTCTTGCGAAGGTTTGTCCGGAACTTGACAGCATTCACTCGACGTTTGCACTTTGATACCGGAAAGAAGAAAACCCGAGTTCCCACTCATCGTCACCAAAGGATGAGTTCGGTCAGGCAAAACTTGATACTCCCTGAGCCAGTTTTCAGTAAGCTTCACCAACACTGCACAGCCCATAGATTTCAACATCACGTGACATTCAGCAAGCGGCTGAAAAATACGTATTCAATTGTTTTTGATCATAAATAAAAAATAATTGAGATAAACTTTGCTCAGAAAAATACCATAAAGGTAAAAAGTCAGAACTGCCAAATCAAATCTCGAGCGATCCGCAAGCAAATCCGTCGAAATGGGCATTAAATGCGTTTAAAAAAAAGTTGGCAATTCAGATGAATTATTTCTCGATCATTTTTTGCAAAAACTATCTGGAACGAATTCGACAGAAGCAATGACAATAGGCAAGCAAGAGGGAACTAGAAGGAAAAACCGGGGAGAACCCGAGGTAAATTCAGTATGCCGACATCTAAAACTGTAAATCAATTCGTCGTTACGATGGACAGAGTAAGAAAAGCACAATTATTTCTAAATCCGCAGCAACGTTGTTGAAAATTCAAACAATTCTTTTTACGCTCTAATTCAGATGTACGAAGCTTTTGTATACAAATCTTTTTTGCTTTTCAAGGCAAAAAAACTGCAATTTTAAAAGGATTGGATAATAATCCAAGTCAAGTCACCTCTCTGAAGGGAGAAAACACGACGAAGGGTTTTGACAATCCTAGCAAGGGAAGAAAAAGTTTAATGAGCTCCTTTGGATTGTCTCTCATAGCAATGATGAACGCGTCAAAATTCCCAGCCAAGACTGCTTCACGTCCCATTACTCTCTGTAAGGCAAAAACAGAGCAAATAGAATGCA